ACGCGCCCGGCGTGAGTTTTAAGCCACCGGGTCCGGGACACGAACCACGGTCGACTACGTGGGAGTCCAGCGACATAGCCATTACGCTAACTGCTGGTTCCCCATCCCTCTTCTTAAAAACTCACCAGGGACCAGCAATTGGCGTAATGGCTATGTCACTGGACTCCCACGTAGTTGACTGTGGTCCGAGTCCCAAACTTAGTGGCTTAAACTCACGCCGGGTGCGTGCTCGTGCGTGCCCACGATTCTGAGAGGAGAATGGAGAAGGGATTGCAGCATGGCTACCTCCCCCCCCACCAGGGGGGTGATTTCTCACTTTCTGTCTTTCTGCCTCTCTCTGTCTTTCTGGTGAGCGCAAGCACCCTACAGCAAAAACTCCTCAAAAAAAAAAAAAACCTCACCAAAAGTCAGTCACAGGGGCCCTGTCCTAATCACTTAACCACTCCCCTACTTCTTGACACCATGAAGGTATTAAGTTTTCTAATAAGAAACCAATCTCAAGTGAATTCTGGGAGGACATAAACCATTATCTTTATGTTAGACTCTCAAAGGAGACACCAAAAAAAAAAAAAAAAAAAGAAAGAAAGAAAGAAAAGAAAAAGACTGAAAGCCACTACTATTGAGAGATTTCCAGGTTCCATGGAGATTTCACTATATCTAAAAACTCCTTCCACGCTAAGACTGCAGACCTCAAGGCCATACCCAGAGGAGCAGTGAAGAGATCATTCACTGCTGTGAACACATAACCTGTGTCCAGACTGACCAGAGGACCCTTTGTTATGCAAGAGAAATACACTTCTAAGAGAGTCCTTTGGCTAAACTTCTGGTAGAAAGAAGACAATGCCTAATAGGGTAAGGACAGGTCAGATTAAGATGCTCCATTCTCTGCTTCTATGGAACCCAACAGCTACTTCTCACTCTCCTGAGCTGATTTTGCCTCATCTCCCTGAACCTGAAACACTGGGAATGCCCAGAGCTCAATTCTCAGACCTACTCTCTGTTCATCTTTGCTCACGCCTTAGGTAACTTTACCCAGTACCATGGCTTTAAATACCCTCTATAAATTGAGAAGGCCCATATTTACAAACTCTAGTCTGGAAGTCTCTGAATTCTAGGCTAGTACAGGCTACTGGCTATTCAATACATTTAATTTTACTACTTATTTTATTTGTAGGTTTTGCCATAGGGCATATGCGTTTGCCAGAGAAATCCCTCCTCCTTCATTCTCCTGTGGGATTTTTGGGTATGCATGCACAGGTGCCTCACCTGATTTTCATGCCACCAATCCAGGACTCGAACTAGTCAGCCATGTGGGAGTCTAGTTCCTTAACCAGTACATCACCTGCTGGCCCCCAAGACATTTTTTTTTAATGAGATAAAATTCAAAAAGCACAAAATTAATCATTCTAAACTGAAAAACTGAGTGACCATTAGTACATCCACAATGCTGTACAACCATCACCACTATCTATTAGGTCATCAGGAAAGCCAGGATGTATTTTTCTATGCAAAAATTTGTCACAACTTTCCAGACAACCCAATGCTTGCAAAATATTTTCATCACTACAGAAGGAATCCCTGTGCCCATTAATCAGTTGTCCTCATTCCCCCTCCCAGGCCCTGGCACCCACCAATGTGCCTTCTGTCTCTATGGATTTGACTACGCTGGATATTGAATACAAACTGAATCTCAAGGTGTGTATTTTAGCATCTGACTTCTTTCACTTAGCATAATGTTTTCAAGATTCACCCATGTTGGGATCAGCAGATGGTTTAATGGTTATGTCACTGGACTCCCACATAGCTGACCACAATTCAAGTGCCGGACTTGAGGCTTAAAACTCATGCTGGGTGCATGTGCATACATGGCCAAAATCCCAAGAGGAGAATGGAGGAGGAAGGGTTGCTGCGTGGCCATCCCCACTGGAGTGATTTCTTGCTTTCTATTTCTCTAGTGAGTACATGTGCCCTATAGCAAAAATCTCTCAAAAAAAAAAAAAAAATCACCCACGTTGCAGCATATATTTATACTTTATTCCTCTTTATGGTTGAATAACATCCCATTGTACTGATATCCATAAACATTTCAGTTTTTCCCCACCTTTTGACTACTATGAACATGTGCATACATTTGTTTTAAACACCAGTTTGCAATTCTTCAATGGAATTGCCAGGTCATATCATTTTTCTGTCTAACTGCCACTCACTATGGTTTTGATTTGTACTTCCCTAATAACTAGTGATGCTGAGCATCTTTATACGTGCTTATTAGCCATTTGCATCTCTTTTTTTGAGAAAGTCCTTCGACAATTCTTAATTGCCTTGTCTTTTTGTTGTTGAACTGTTAAGAGATTTTTTTAAAAATATATACCGGATAGTAAAACCTTATTAGTTGTATTATTTGCACATAATTTATTCCTTATTCCCTTTTTCCTTTCTTTCTTTCTTTTTTTTTTTTTTTTGCTATAAGGTACCTGCACTCGCTAGAGTGAGAAATAACCCTTCGGGAGATGGCCATGCTGCAATCTCTTGTCCTCCATTCTCCTCTCAGGATTGTGGACATGTTCTTTTTACTTCCTTGGTAATGTCCTTTAATACATAAAGAGTTTAATTTTGACAAAGGCCAATTCATTCATTTTTCCTTTTACTTGCATGTTTTTGATATAATATCTAAGAATGTGCTGCCAAATATAAAGTCATAAAGATTTATCCCCCTTTTTTTTTTCTTTAGAGCTTAATAGTTTTAGCTATTGTATTTAGGTCAGTGGTCTAAATACAGTCATTTGGTGCTTAAAGACGAGAACAGGTTATGAGAAACACATCATTAGGTGACTTTATCACTTTATAAATATCATAGAGGATACTTACACAAGCCTCGATAGTATAACCTACTACACGTCTAGGCTGTGTGGTATGATTTTATGGGACCGCCGTGGTCTACACAATTGCTGTTAACGAAATGTTGTGTGGCACATGACTGTATAGGCCATTTTTAGTTCATTTCTGTACATGGTATGAAGATATCTATTCTCCAATGTCTATCAGGTCTCTCAAATTTTGCATGTCCCCAGCTTTTAATATTCTTCCCTAAACCTGCTCTTTCCAGTCTTCTGTATCTCAGTAAATGCTCAGGTTAAAAACTTGGATCATCCTTGACTCCTTTTTCTCTTACAATTTACATCCAAATCATTAGCAAATCCTGTTGTCTTCATCTTTAGACCATATTTCAAATGTAAGTATTCACCACCTTTTCCTATATTAATCTTGATTACTGCAACAGCCTTTAACGGGCCTTCCTGTTTTCACCTTTGCTTTCCTACAATCTAACAAGCAGCCAGTGATCTTGTTAAGTACAAGTCTCTCTGCTCTTAATTCTTCAATGACTACTTATCTTAGAATAAATATCATATGCTTTCCATGTCTACAATGTTCTATACAACTTGCCTCCAGAATACACACACCTTCCTGTCCTGTTTTGTTTTGTTTTTCTCTCTCTCTCCCTCCTCTAACCCAGCTCTGGCAGTCCCTGGACTCTTTGACTGCCTGGCCTTTGCATGGACTGTTTCCATAGTCCAGAATGCTAACCCCCAAGATATAGGTAAGCCCCCCGTCTACCTCTGGTCCTTGCTCAAATGAACCTTCTTAGAAAAGCCTTCTCTATCATTCCATTTTAAAGCAGCAATTGTGCAGCCCTTGTTACTACTTATTCCCCTACCCTCCAACCTTTGCTTCATTTTTCTCCGTAGTATTTATCCTAACTCACTATATATTTACCTGTGCATCCTTCCCCCACTGGAGTATAATCTCCATGAAAGCAGACTGCTTAGAACAATGCCTAGCACCTAATGGGCCTTCAATAAGCACTTGCCGAATAATAAACAGCGTGCTGTGTAATATATAATCGCCTGTTGCTACATCTGTCCAAGGGAATGGACTGCGAGTTTTCTGGAGGCAGTGACAGATTGAGCTCTGAATTCCCAGCACTAATGTTAGAGCTCGACACAGAGGAGGGATCCATTTAAAAATGAACCGACAAGAGGCCTACGAAACATCCTTCGTCTTTCAAACCAATTGTCTGCGATACCACTCCCCACGTAGAAGTCAAAGTGTTGAGGAATCTGTAGAAAAATGTCTCAGTACCAATTCCCACGCCCCCGTGCCTGTACCCTGGTATCCCATCCCCACCACAATCAAGTGAGATTATGAAGGGTCAAAGCCAAGATTTGAGCCGTGCAACGACAGGTCCTCAAGCGGCAGTAAAGACTGAAGATCACAGAAGGTGGCCGACCTCCAAACAGAAACACCATCCCGGGGGCCGCGTTGAGGAGAGGGAGGGCCCCGACGATCGCGATCAGGGTCCAGGTCCCTCTTTGACAGCTAAGGTAACTGAAGCCCAGAGAGGGAAGCGACCGGCCCAAAGTCACACAGCAAGTCACCCGGGAAAGACGCGCGCCGCCCGGCATTCGGTGGCGCCCCGC